CGAGTCTGGAAACAGTTGATAATCCTATACTTAGAGGATACAGGGAAAGTGAGAGTAACAGAACAAATAATCTTGCTTCCAGTGGCCACTCTTCATTGATCTTTTATTGACTTCATTTTAGCTGTTTACTAACAATGAGGCTAATCTCCTTTTCCATAGGATACATATAGGGTACTCTAATTATCATCATAGTAATGATTATAATACTTTCTTACTCATTTAGAGATTACATATTTTTTAAAACATCTATTAATAAGAAGCCTCACAACACTCCTGTGAGGTAGATATGTGGATCCCCATTTCGAGATGGGTTAATAGAGGCACAGAGAGGTGATGTGACTTGCCTAAAAACTGGGGAAAATAGAAGAGAGGCAAATCAGGGTACCACCCAGTCGCCAGAGATCCATTTTCAGTAGAGAAAAAGACAGTGCTAAATGTTTCTTCAAATTAGACCCATGCAGCTGCTTTCTCTTTGATCTCTTACATGGGAATTAACATACTATGGAGGATCGACATGTTCCCTTGGTTTATTCAAGGCTAGGTCAATCACTGATGGTTTCCTTCATGTATGAGAAAGCATTTGGCGACTAGGATAGAATTGAGAATACAGATTATCTCTAATTTAAGAATCTTGTAGATAATTCTGTTTCAAAGAGTTGAATTTTTAAAAATGTTACTATCATGTACATAAGCACCGGGTTCTAGTTGATTGATTTTTCTCATGGATATACAGGATAACATGTAAGACACTGTTAATATGTATTTCATCAGTATTAATATGGATTTCAACAATTAATAAATGACAGAAGATAGAGCTATGGTCCTTGCTGATAGAATGGAAAGATATGCAGATAACTAAGGAGTAAAGACAATGATATAGACTCATAGAAATCATTATAAAGATGATCATATGTAGAAATGTTTATATATAAAACAATATATGCATACATTTCTTTGTTCTACTGACTGAGAAGGACTTGAAGAAATAATATCCCCAAAGTAGCAAACATACACAGTACCTACATCTTGGTTTCTGATACACTTCTTCAGTAAAAGGAATTAGAACTTATTGACGAAATGCCTGATTATAGAATTGTCCACCATAAAACAAATGCAAGATAAGCCTGGAACATCTTGCAACACCAAAAATTAATCATGTGCTGAAAAAAATGGGGTATGTAAAAAAGACTTCACGATCAATTCAAAAAAGCTCCTAATAGTTAAAGCTACAATTTGGGCAACAAAATAAAAGTTGCATTGGATTATAAGATAAACTATAAAATAAATATCAATGAGTCCATGTTGACAAAAATAAACAATTATGTAAGTAAATAAATGGCGGGGAGGCAAAGCTCCCATGCAGAAGAATTGCAAAATATTTATATGGACGCTTGCTCTCAAGGACATGGTGCATAACTCACCATTTTTATATGTGTAGGCCGAGCATAGTATGGTGATAGCAAAAAGGGTATAGGGGAGAAATCCCATATACACTATCTTAGCCATGTGACTAAGGATAACATGAATAATAAATCACAGAAATATGATGTTATGAAAATAGTAAATCACTCATGTGGTTGTTTGGACCCAAATCCATTAACCCATTCAGGTAGATTTTTTTTTTCTGAGACAGAGTTTCTTTGTGTAGCCCTGGCTGTCCTGGAACTCACTCTGTAGACCAGGCTAGCCTAGAACTCAGAGATCCACCTGCCTTTGCCTCCCAAGTGCTGGGATTAAAAGGAAAATGAATGCTACCATGCCTGGCATTAAATTTTTAAATGAGAAAATTTTCTTGAGAAGAGTATCAAATAAATCCAAACTGAAGAACATACTCCAAGGTCCTTGATAACAAAGAACTTCAAAAAGCTATCACAGTGAGAATAAGGAGCTGTGATTATTAATACAATGTTGTGTTTTGAAGGGGATATTAAAACAGAAAAAAAGAACAGCAGATAAAAGCCAAGGTAGTCTGACTAAAGCATTAATTGCAGTTAATATTAACATATCAATGTAATTTCACTGATTGTAACAAGTGTACCAAACCAATGTAAAATGTGGAGTAAACAGAAACTCTGTTCTACCTTCACATTTTCCTGAAAATCTCAAAAAAAAAAAGAGTTGCAACATGTAAACTTTATTTAAAAAGAAATTCTCTCTACAAACATTTGTGGGTTTGTACATAATGAACTCCACTAAGCCATCAAACCAGTTTACATTGCTTACACTTTACAATGCAATCATCAACATTTCTGTTCAGCTGTCAGATATCACCAGAAGGAGAAACTCCACTACAATAAACTCCTGAATATTATCCATCCCTACCAAATTTCCATATCCGAACAAATGCCATCCTAACAGTCTTTGGCTGTTGTCAGCCCATTACACTTAGTTTCACCTCTGATGTTAACCAAGAAAAGTGCAATGGTTTCCCTTCTATCCCACCGTCTAGCTAACTTTTATGTGCTTTTGGTGCAGTAATTCTGCACTGTACTGTTTGAGTTCCTTTGCTTTGCGAAGTTCTCTTAACGGTGACACATTCGTAAAGATTTTATTTGGAACTGGAATGAGTTTTGCCATTTGGGGACAAAAAGAGCCAAGAGAATATGGTTAGAATTGGTTCTTGGCTAAAGATAATGGACAAAGCATTTGCAAAGTCTATTATGACTCTGCAGAAACATACTTGAATAAAGGCTCAGAGATGCTAGGAACATCAGTATCTGGGATCCTCATTTGATCACCCTTATGAGTACTATAATTCCATACTGCTCATTAATAAACATATGTCTCAATAGCCTAAAGTCTAAGCGGCACATGTCAATTCCAAAGTCTGGAAAAACAAATTTAGGATCCAAAGTGGAACAATAGTACGCAACCCCTTGGACTCTGTTCTATAATATTGTATCAACTACTTAGTCAATTACAAGCTTAAGCCCATGTATGGTAGTAATATACATTTATCAGTCTGTCTTACATTGTGGTCCCCATTAGTAGACTAGCCCTAGATATTGATTAGTGCTTGGTAATTAGTATACAGCCTGGAACTTGTATACCCAGAGTCAGGACAAATCCCTTACTGAAGTGGTAATAGTAAAACCTACATGTCATGTTAAAAGGTACAAGGAGGCCTTAACTTATGGAGAATTTATGCTCTGGGAAGACATTGAAACTTGAAACAAGGTAAATTAAAACAAATCCTGAATTATCAAAAACTGGGACTTGAAACACTGTGTGCCCGGTGTTAAGTGGCCATGACCATAAGCACACCCTACTTACTTTGTCACCAAATATATATGAATTTTAAGTGACTTAAAGTTTTCTGAAGTATAACATAAAATTGGACAAATATTGCAACCAATCACATAACTTTTTTTCTTTAATTTGGTTTACTAGTGTGATCCCTGGGAGAAGGAGTATACAGGTCTATAAGGCCTCAAGGAATTATCTGGAGAAAGAATCTGACCCGTATTTGCCTCATCTGTAAAACGTGAGGGATGGGTAGAAGTAGACAGGACCCCTTCTGGATGGTAGAATTTTAGGTTTTAGTTAGAAAGTACAGCCACAGGAGGTAGTAACCTAAAGTGTTCAAGCCAGAACATTTTGAATATCTGCCAAGAAATAAAGGTTTCGTATGAAGAAAACCTTTAGGCAAGAGGCTGCGTCCAATTCTACTAATACAAAGCCCCTCTCCTTTTTCCCCAGGAGAGGAAATATGCCACAAGGAGGTAGATATGAGGTCCAGGGCCAGGAACAGAAGATTTTATGCCCCAGAGAATATTATGAACAGTCTGATTGGGCAACCAAATGTATATTATGCATTCTGCTGTTATGTCTAATTAAAATAATTGGCTTGGGAATTAATAGCAGTTCTAAAACATCAAAAATGCTTTCTATATGTCAGTGTCAGGAAGAAAACCTTTTCCATCCCATTAGAAACAAAAGAACAAATGCCCAAAATGGCATGAAGTAAACAAAATTCCTTTAGTGCAACCCCTCACCTCTCTATAACGTGCTCAGTGTGCAATTTCTCATCAGGTAATACACTGAATGGTTGCTTTATGTAAACAAAAGAATAAACAGTACAGTGTAGCCCATCAAAGGTGCTGTTTCGACAGGCTGCCCTCTGGATGAGGTTTGGGATTAACAGCAGTTCTAACACCTTATCTGAGTAATTGTTCACAGGGTGCTCCCAGGTCTGCTCTTGCCTGTCACTGCCCACATATTTTCCTAGAATACTTCTCCCTACTGATCTATCTTTCTGTGCTTTGAATATTTGTCCAAACTTAACCTGAAAAGAATGGAATTGTGCCATAAAACCTTTCGTTCTAAAGGAGCATGAGGAGGAAAAGGAGGTCAAGGAATCCCTTCATTGCTTTTGATGAACTTCAAAAGAAGGGCTGGCACGGTCTGTAAACCAAACTGTTAAGAACAAGTAAACTGGATGTAGAAAACCTTCAGGGTTAGCATGAGACTCTGTATGTCAGACTCAATTCTCTGTAAATTTGACCAACCAACTCTACTGTTATGCCCCTTGTAGCTACAACTTTGAAAGAAAATCCAGTTTAGGACATTGCTAAGTGACATTAAGTACTGGTTAGAGTATATAGGAATAAAATCTTTAGAAAACAAAAGAAAACTGGGGTGGGGGGAGCAGCGGATGTTTGTTCACAGCCTTGAGTTTGATTCCTGTTTTGTTATTGTAGGAAAAAAATGTCTATAATATAGCATGAGGGGTCAGGGAGGGCAGCCATGGGCGCCGCACTAGAATTCAACCCAGGAAGAGGTTGCAAAAACTGAAGTCTAGACAGTGGAGAGATGAAAGCGGAATATGAAGAGCCGCATGGGAGACCAGCTAACTTGTTTTCCAGTCTCATTAACCTGGCTCAGTAGGCTGTTCGAACCCCTATTATGGGGGCAAGTTGTAGTCAAAGAGGCAAACTTAGTTATGACTTCAGCACACACTCAGGAGACTGGTGCAGCACGTCTGCTGTGGCCTGTGATATTCACATGGTGTCATGACGCCGGCGGTGGAGGGACAAGTGGTCAGATCGAGAAAAACTGCGGTTGCAGTCTGTGCACCGGAACGGCTTGATGCCCGTGTGCTTGCGGAAATGACGAGTAAGCTCATCCGAACGAGCAAATTTCCAGGAACAGCCGTCCCAGGTGCACTTGTAAGGCTTCTCTCCTACAGGGAAAACATGGTGATATAAAGGTAATCAGGAGATGATTGGCTACCAGAAAAATTACAGAAATACATAATTTACATTTATAGCAAAGCTTCAGTCAAAAAGCAAGACAATCACCTTGAAGAAATGCTGTTAGTCACCTTTTAAAGTAATTAGTTTGACAAACATCATATTTCATGTCTTCTACTAATCTGATGATATGTACACACTATGGAGCTGGTTAAATATAGCTAACTAGCATATGCATTTACTTCACATATTGGTTGTTTGCTTGTTTGTTTGTTTTTGTGGTGAGAAACTTAAAAATTGTCCTCTTCACACTGCTATTTGAAGTTCCGAAGTTAGGTTGAGACAGTGGGGTGGGGAGAACACAGGCTCTGAATGAGTCATTGAATTCTGCCTTTACCATGCTAACCCTTTAGTAATCTCTTTAAGTAATCCCTTTCCCCTGGCAAAGTCTATTTTCTCAACTCTAAACAGAGGCAAAAATATCTCACAAGGTTGTTCAAAACATTTTAAAAGGGAGACAGTAGAGGCTAGACATAGGAAGGAGAGGCAGGAGGAACAAGTTTGAGGCCAGGCTGGTCTACCTAGTTGAGTTCCAGGCTAGGCAAGGCTATATAGTAAGACACTCTCTCAAAAGAAGGAGGAAATATCCCCAAACAAAAGAAAACCTAGATTGCTAGTAAGCAGTACAAACTGAACCATATTAGTTACATTTCCCATTTCTGGGACCAAACGCCTGGCAAGACATGTTAGGGGAAAAAGGGACTTATTTTGGCTCAGTTTGAGGGATGAATACAGTCCATTATGGCAAAGTAGACATGTTGGTGAGAAGTTCCATTAAGTCAGAGCTTGGTTCACATCTCTATAGATCAGGAAGCAGAAAGAGTATAGAAAGTGGGTATGAACTTATAAGCCTACCTCCCAGAGATTCACTTCCTACAGCTAACCCCCAACTGCCAGAATTTCCATAACCTCCCCTAAACAACACAACTAGCTGGAGAGCAAGTTTTCAAACATGTGAGCCCATAGGCTGAATTCTACATGCAAACTGTACCAGAGATCCAGGTTGCTGCCACTTTCTACCCTACCGTACTATTATAGCTATGTTATCTCATCTGATACTTCCTAATGAACAATCTGAAATACAGCCATCTGCAATAAGAACGGGTGACTCAGTGGAAAGAGCACTCAGCAAATGCTTGCTTCTGTGTAAGGTCAGAAATTCATACATGAAAAGGAATGGGACAGTTGTCGAGCCCAAGTATTTTAGATAGCTCCATGCTCAGTCTTAAGGTTATAGCTGGGTTGTATCATGAGACATGCATGCTCAGGAAAGGAAAATGGGGGTGAGGGGAGTAGTATAAGAACTACCACAGCACAATCCACTTATATGTATAGGTCACATACCAAACACTTATACACTCAGGATAATGGCAACATCAACACACTGAAATGGAAATTATAGAAAAATGATTAACAATGAGAAAAGTGAAGATGGAAGGAGGCCTTTTTTATTACAATCACTGTACTGCTTCAATACTTTAAAATCATTATGTGTATGTGTGTGTGTGTGTTATCTGTATATGTGTATACATTCACAATATCTATAGTATATATCATATGTAACAAAAAATAAGCCATGAGTGGTAGTAAACATATGTAATCCTAGTACTAAAGAAACTGAGGTAGGAGGGTCAAGAATTTGAGGCTTAACTGTGTTAAAAGTTAATTAATTGGGGTTAGAGAGATGGCCCAGTGGGTTCAAAGCACTAGCTGCTCTTACAGAGGACCCAGGCTCAATTCCCAGCACCCAGATGTGTCTCACTACTATCTATAACTCCAGTTCCAGGTGGTCTGATGCCTTCTTCTGGGCTCTGTGACACCAGACACAGACACAGCATATAAACATACACATGGGCAAAATACCCATACATATAAAATGAAAATAAATAAGTCTGTTTTTTCTTGGGCTTTTTTCTAGACAAGGTTTCAATGTGCAGTCCTGGCTATTTTAGGATTCACTCTATAGACAAGGCTGGTCTTGAACTCAGACATCTGCCTGCTTCTGCTTCTCAAGTACTGGGATTAAAGCTGTGTACCACTACCACTCAGTCTAATTTTTTTAATTAAAAGAAATAAGCTATATGAACAAATAGTCACTGTGATTTAAGTGTATATCATAAATCATAGTAATATTTGTTTTTTCCTTAACATGCTTCTGTTTCTTATCTACTGTGAGTATGTATTTTATCATCAGAGACGAGCAGTAACATAGACACAAAGTATAAGCAGAGGAAGTGAGGGACCTGGGTGGAAGAGGGAATGGGGAAAGGAATGGGGGGACAGTCAGGAACAGGTGTGGGGAGAGACAGGACAGAGCCAGAGGGCCAGGAGAATGGAAATATGCAGCTGGGGTTGGGGTTTCTCTAGGAAGTACCAGAGACCTGGGATGGGGGAGGCTCCCAGGAGTCAATGAGGGTGACCTTAGCTGTGACTCACAGTATTGGGGATATGGAACCTGAAGAGTCCACCTCCTGTAGCCAGGCATGAACACCACTGGAGGGATAAGGACAGCAACACACCCACGATACATTCGACCCCAAATTTGTCCTCTTTAAAAGAAATGCAGGGAGAAAGATAGAACAGAGACTGTAGGAATAACCAACCAATATCGGGCCCAACTTGAGACCCATCCCATGGGTAAGCACCAATCCCTATTAATAATAAATAGTCTGTTATGCTTGCAGACAGGAGTCTAGCATAACTGTCATCTGAGAGGCTCCACCCAGCAGCTGACTGAAACAGATGCAGACTCTCACAGCCAAACATTGGAGCAGGGGACTCTTACCGAAGAGTTGGGGGAAGGATTTGAAGGAACTGAAGGGGATAGGAACTCCACAGGAGACCAACAGAGTCAACTTACCTGGAACCTTGGGGGGTCCCAAAGACTGAACCACCAACCAAAGAACATACACAGGCTGGATTGAGGCCCCTGGCATGTATGTAGCAGATGTGCTGCTGTTCAGTCTTCATGTGGGTCCCCCAACAACTGGAACAGATGCTGTCCCTAAAACTGTTGCCTGTCTGTGGAATCCATTCCCCAACTGGGCTGCCTTGTCTGGCCTCAGTGGGAGAGGATGCATCTAGCCCTAAAGAGACTGGATGTGTCAGGGTTGGGGACACCTACTGGGGGCCCCACCCTCTTAGAGGAGAGGGGTGGGAGAGAGACTCTGTGAGGGGGGACTGGGGGCAGTAATATGGATGTAAAATGAATGAATGAATAGAAAAATAGATAGATAGATAGATAGATAGATAGATAGATAGAGAAAAAGATTATATCAGTCTTTGTTCTTCTATCCCTCCTTTCCCCATTATAAAGCTTCCAAGGCATTTACATCTTTACAGTTTTAATTTCTGATGGCAATCAGATTTTCATCATTTTTTAACTTACTGCTGGACACCTACTAACCTTCTCCTAATTAATTGTACAGCTGTTAGATAACTGGACAACAGAATGGAGTCTAGCCTGACTCACAGGTTTGGAGTAGTACTGGGAAACTATTTGGCTGATTAAAAAATGTTAGTTACTGATCATTTCAATAATTGGAAATTTTTGCATTAACCTCTAGGAAGACTGACACACACCTGAATGTTTTAAGACTAAAGATAACTTGAGTGTAGTAGTACATACCTTTAATCCCAGACCCATGAGGAAGAGACAGGGTGATCTCTGAGTTCGAAGCCAGCTTGGTCTATATACTGAGTTCTAGGCCTCTGAGTTTGAAGCCAGCTTGGTCTACATACTGAGTTCTAGGCTAGGCAGGACTACCTTGTCTATCTCTCTCACCAAACAAAAGGGAAAAGACTGAAAGGTTACACATGATTATTAACATCTAGAAAGGAGAATGGGATTTCGGAGAATATAGGGAATATAAACGGTTTTTTTTTTACTTTTATTCAATATAGTAGTAGCCCATCTCCACACTTCACAACGTTTTTGCTATGTATATAATTTATTATAACTGCTCAAGGAGTTCTCCTAGGAATTCATTTTCACTACACTCAAATGAATAATCAATCACCTTGTTAAAGTACTGCCACCATGTGGCACTTTCGGCTCACTGCACCCTGAAGAAGTCTATCTTTCTATTTCAAGATCTTTGCCTTTTATTGTGGTTAAAGATGCTTGTGTTCAAACTAAGGTCAGTGTTATCTAGATATACACCAAAACCCGATGAGGACACATCAGAAAAAAAAGCAAGCAAACAAGCTACAGGCCAATAGCCTTGATGAACGTAGACACAAAAATCCCCAATAAACTATTTTCCAACTAAATTAAATGGCACCTAAAAAGAACAAGGCAAGATTAACTTGATTTCACTCTTGGTGTATCAGGATGGGTCAGTGTACACAAATGAATAATGTAACAGTATATAAATAGGATCAAAGATAATTATCCAAGGATAATTTCAATAAATGTGGGACAGGACTCAGATATAAGTCTTGAAGAAATTAGGAACAGGAGGATCACATCTCAACCTGATAAAGGCTATATATACCGTAAGCATATAGCCAGTATAATACTGAATGAAGAGAGACTGAAAGAGCTTCCTGTATAAAAACAAAACAAAGATGTGTACAAGCCCCACTCCTCTTAAATATACTTCTGAAATTTTATGCATGGCAATAAGGTAAGACAAATAAGAAAGAAGAAGCAAAGGAAGAGAAAGAAAGACAGGCTGAGATGGTTCAGTTGCTAAAGGTGCTTACTACCAAGCCTGACAATCTGAGTTCATTCCCCAGAATCCATACGGTGGAAAGAGAGAAGCAAGTCCTGCAATTTGTTCTCTGACCTCCATATAAATACCTGTGGCACAAGTGCCTATCCAACACACAAAATAAATCAATAAATGTCATTTTTAAACTAACAAACCAGGGCTGGAGAGATGGCTCAGTGGTTAAGAGCACTGACTGCTCTTCCAGAGGTCCTGAGTTCAATTCCCAGCAACTACATGGTGGCTCACAGCCATCTGTAATGGAATCAAACGCCCTCTTCTGGTATGTCTGAAGATAGCTACAGTGTACTCATATACATAATATAAATAAATATATCTTTAAAAAAATAAAGTAACAAACCTCAATCACAAATGTCTAAGATTATTCTGAAATAAATCTAGCCAAGGAGACAGAAGACCAAAAGATGGAAGACTAAATATGAAAATTATAAAACACTGAAAAACAACAACAACATGGACAGATGACCCAGTTTCTTGAACTGGCCAAATAAGTATTATAAAATGATCACATTTCTGAAAGCAACTAAATGTAATTCCAATCACATTCTTCAAAAAAAAATATAAAGAAAATCTTGAAATTTATATTAAACCACAAAAGACCAAAATAGTCAAAACAATCCTAAGAAAATATCTAATGCTGAAGGTTGTTGTGGATTGCCCTGGTACTACTAGTATTTTGATGTTAATTCTGCTTCCTCAAGAGGGACTGCCCCTACAAGAAGTGATCTTGTACTCAAGTGATTTCATATGAACCTTCTCCTCCTTTTAACTGGTCAAATAAAGGCTTGAGCCTATGACTGGGTAGTGGAAGGAAAAGGTAGAGCTGGAGGTTTTAGAGAGAGGGAAGACAGGAAGGAGGAGAGGAGGAGATGGAGGAAAGAGAGAGGAAGAGGAGGTAGAAGGAAGATGGAGCAGAACCATGTGGCCTGGAGAAGCCACAAGAGATCTCATAGCTGGGGACAAGAGTAGTGGTATATCTGCCCAATCTAGGCCTACATGTTATAAATATTGTAACAGAGTTGTGTATTCTTTGCATGGGCTTATTGGGGTTGGACATTTACTACAACAGAACGTACTATAAAATTTGATTTCAAAACATACTACAGAGCATTAGTAACAAAAAACAAAACATAGTACTGGTATAAAATCAGACACTCATACCAACATTATAGAATAAAGAATCTAGAAATAAACCACACATCTATAACTAGCTAATCCTTGACTAAATCAAAACAAACAACCCATACCAGTATGTTTTGGTACAAAGGTTATGTGCCTAGCTGGTAATGCTAGGAGTGACTGAATTATGAGGGTCATGATCAATGCTTAATCCATTCATGTTCTTAAAACTCTGTATCTTTTGTACACCACCACAGGTGAGCCACTTTCTTCCACCATGATGCTCTGCTTCTTCAGAAGCAATGGAGGTAGGTGGCCACAGACTAAAACCTCTGAAACCAGGAGCCAAAATAAATCTTTCCCCCTTAAAGTTGGCTTGCTCAAATATTTAGCTACAATGATGGGAAGTGTCTAATATACACATACTGGAGAATGTTCATCCTGAAACTGTGCTGGGAAAACTGTCATATCCACGTGTAAAACATTAAAAATATATCCTTAGCGCTCACTAAACAACACTCAAAGTGGGAGAGAAATTAGTATCAGAACCATCTTTTTGAAAGTATTAGAGGAAACTATGTGAAATACTTCAAGATGTAGATATAAGCAACAATCTCCTCAAAATGACTCTAATAGCTCAGGAAATAAAATCAAGATTCAACCCACAGGGTGAAAACAAATTAAAGCGCTTCTGCAGAGTAAAGGGCCCAGTTAACAAAAAGACGTTAACAACCTATAGAATGAAAGAAAACCTTTGCTAGTTATTCATATGATAGATGATTAGCATCCCAAATAGACAAAGAACTTAAAATAACTAGTTAACAGCAAATGAGTAATTCACTCTCTAAATGAGAAGATAATGTGAACATAGACTATTGAAAAAATGGGATACAAATACTCCAGTAAATACATGAAAAAAGATGCTTAGTTTTTACCCATCACCGATACACAAAAGAAACTTATATTGAGATTCAACCTCAGCCTGGTCAGAAGGGCTATAATTAACAAATAAATAAGCAAACAAACAAACATTCCTTACATAGTAGCTCTTATAATCAACCAACCAACCAACCAACCAACCAACCAACCAACCAACCAATCAATTACAATGTGCTGAGAGGAATATGGAGAAAAATGTTTTCTTATATATTGTTGGTGGAAAAGTAAACTAGTCTACAGAAAACAGGATGGAGGTTCCTTAAAGAAAACAATAAATTGGGAGGTGGAGACAAAAGCATCCAAAATTCAAGCTCAGCCTCATCTACATAGCAAGTTTTCGGGCAGACAAAACAAAAACCTAAGGGGCTGGTGATGTAATTCAGTTGGAAAAGTACTTTAGTAGCATGTATGATGCCTTGAGTTTAATACCTAGCACTCACTGCAAAACTAGGCACTGCAGCATACTTGCTTGGAAGGGACCAGGCTTTCTGTTTTGCTAGACAGTTTTTTTATGAAAGTGGTTTTTGGATAGGAACAACACAAAATGGCAAACCTCATAAGTGATCTTCTCCTCCTTATAGTTTTTTGTCTCTTTCCCTAGGCTCATCTCTCATAGCATGTATGTATGTGTTGGAGCTAGAATACTGGGAGGCAGGGGCAGGGGGTCGGGGGGAAGTGCAGACCTGTATGGATTCTGCGGTGAGCTTTCAGGTGAGAGCTTTTGGTGTACACTTTGCTGCATCCTGCAAAGTCACACTGATGAATCCGTCTTCTCTTTAAGTCAAGAGACTCTTCTCCCTGCATGTGGCCCATTGTCGCTGGTCTAAGCAAAGAAAGAGAGACAAGACCAATTACAGTGGTGCTATTTCACACCATCTTATCATATATGCAAATTTTAATGCTAGATCTCCTGGAGAAGAAATAGTTGGAACCCTGTAAGCCATTCTTTGAACCAGGCCATTCTGCTGAGAAACTACAGCTCCCTGAGAAAGCACTGGAGGTGGTAATTTTTCCTTGAGTACTACGTTGTCAAACAGTGTGAACATTTCACTTCAACACGTGCCATTCTTGTGCTTAACAAAATACATTTTTCATACAACATGCTTTGCTAAATGCAAGCTAATTGCTTTCAAATCATTTTAAGATTAGAAGACCAGGCTATTTTAAACTTATAGAGTAAAAACACTACCAAACTATAATTTATAGGAAATTAAAACCCTTTTTTTCAGGGCTAGAATTCATGATATATACAATTAGAATGTAGCTCTATTATAACATGCATAAACATGCACATGTATGTATACACACTTGCATAGCTCTTGGGAAAAGCAGTCTGTCATTTATTTTCTGCAATCTTTTACTATTGTATTCTGTTAATTTTACCTTCATACATGTATACCTGCATGCACATGTACTTGACATGCACATGTGTGCACACATGGGCATGTGCACACATGCACACATGCACACACACACACACACAGAGAGAGAGAGAGAGAGAGAGAGAGAGAGAGAGAGAGAGAGAGAGTACACAGAGAGAGAGACAGACACAGACACAGACATAGACACACACACACACACAAACACACACACAAACACACACACTTTAAGTACTCACTCATGATGAAATCCCTGCAGATTCTGTAAGGCTGAAGAGCCACTCTCGATTGCACTCTCATCACTATCACTTGGAAACTCCAGTGGACACATGGAGGCGGGGTCAACTTTGACTGAAAACAAAGGAGGGGAGGGTTACTGTAGACCAGGATCGCAGATCTCTATAATCATTTTCAGGATTCCCAGTTTGGCCCATATTACGAAGAGGAAGTAAGACAGAAAAATCATTCAAAAAGAAAGAAGAGAAAGCAGTAGCTTCTGAACATTTTTTTTTAGCATAGGAAGAGACAGAGGTATCTTTGAAAGGAGGGTAGCTGTTCTTCTAGTGAATTTCCCCAGGACACTAAGTGTGATTGATCCATCTCTAGGCCTCAGGCTCGTGAGAAAGGGGCTACAGAAAAGATGGCTTCAATGATTCCAGGAGGCACTGAAGTCTGTGACTAGTTCCCTGTCTTGAGAAAAGTGCTAGGGTTATCCCAACATTTGTAGCACTAAAAAACTGATTATAATACCACACATATAGTGACAATAACTATGTCAAACCATGTCAGAAGCAACGGACTTTCTTTGATCATTTCTGATGTAGAAAGGGAATTGTGCTGAATTCTGAGCTGACTTCAAAAGTTAACACAGGAGAATCACAAGTTCAACATCTACTTGGGCATTATGTTTTAAACCAGTCAGAGCAAATTAATGAAACTGTATCCCAATTTTTAAAAACAAAAAAAGCGTTTTTTTTTCTTTTATTTTGTTTCATCAAAAGAAGGCTAGGGGGTAGAATGTAGTAGTAGAATACTTGCTTATTATGTGTAAGATGCTCAATTCAACTAGCAGTACCACAAAAGTAAATAGACAGACAGATAGTAACATATGAAACTTCCAGGAACCTTACAGCTTGCTCCACTAACGCGGTCTGTGGTGAAACAATTGCTAGGTAGCCCTGTGGTGGGTGTCTCTGGATAGTGTACAGGTACATCGTTAACACTGTATTCTGGGAACTTCTAACTCGGTTAGAAAAGTACCCTCATAAATCAAATAAAATCTTAAAGTAATCAAAACTTAAAAGGAAGTATGACTATACTGCAGAGACTCTTAGAGCTCAGGGAAGGTGTGCTGAGTGAGCAGAGCTACGTGTGCCCAAGTATGGTAGTGATAGGAAGGTTGAGTTTTCTATCAAAGCTTTTCTACCTAATGGCATAGAAAAAAAACCCAGTACAATAATCTAGGAAGTCTCAGGGACACACGGTATGTTAGTGACTGTCAACTTTTTGTTGTTTAGTTGTAATTTAACTCAGTGTTCAGCTTTTGCATTTTGCTTTAAATCAGCAATATTTTAAATATACTGCTTTAAATGATTTACCATTAGATAATAGTATATGAAGGAAAACCCAGACTATTTCACTCAAGAATATGCATCCCTGTTTGAGAAACGTGGTCTAAAGGAGATCAATTATATGTTCTTTCATGACAGGGTCTCCTTATGTAACCCAAGGCTAGCCTGGGATTCACAATCATCCTGCCCAGCCTCTCAAGCTGTAATCTGAGACTACAAATGCGTGCCAAGACACATAGTCCATTATACATTCTTAAGCATTATATAGAAATTATTTAAGACACTTTAAAAATGATAATTAGGACAATTCCCCTTTGGAACACTGTCCTTCAGAATTGCAAATGGTGCAAAGAGACAAGGCAGGTTGACTGAGGAAGAGAAGATCTCTGAAGGTGTGTGACTCAAGGAAGCAGTAAACCACTTGCTTACCCGATCCAGCACTTTTGCCGTCTCCTCCAATAAGTGGCACAGTAATGGCTGCAGGGCTCCCATCTGCAGGCAAACTGGTATAGACCATCGGCAAAGACTGAACCACCAGCGGGATTGTCTTTAGTCCACTCATCTTATTTGGCAAACTGACTGAGGGGATGGTGTGAATCACATGTAAAATCGGCTGCCCACTGGTCCCCTGAGAGGAGGCCAGGATAGAGCCTGGAGTGAGAACAGTAGGAATGGCTGCTGAAGTAACTGTGTCAGCTGAAGTAGGCACCATAATGGCTTGAGGTGCAGTCGGTGGCTTGGGAGGGCGGATTGGAGCTTGCAGCATGCTAGCTGGCTGGAGCGGAGCCTTCGGTTTGTGAAAGGAGAGATCAACTGGTTCCACCTGGGGCATGTTGAAATCACTCTCCAGGAGCTCTTCTGGGGGCTCGATCTTGATATCATTAAACAGAGCTGGGTTCTCCATTGGGCTGGCAGCCAGGAATGATGGAGAAGTCATATTTCTTCTGTCTGCTCTCACAGAAGGATCTCTGATCGGAACAGGACCAGTGGCCTAAAACACAATGACAAGAGGAGACAGCCACCATTGGTACTCTAAAGAGACATGGGAACAATGAAAGAAAGAAAGCTCCACTCTCATGGAAAAGATACACGATGCTGAAAGAAATGAAACAGTAATGCACTAAAGAATCAAAAGGAGAATGTTATTAAGCACCATTGTTAAGTACAGTGGTATCGTACAATTGATAAAAATCTTTTACTTAATTATTCACAATCAAAGATCTAAAATGAAATTCAATTTTAACTTGAAAAATCCAATAAAAGGATATCCATTTAGGAAACAGCTCTTCATATAGAAAGAAAAAGGAAGGAAGGAAGGAAGGAAGGAAGGAAGGAAGGAAGGAAGGAAG